GAGGAGGAGGAGAAAAGAAGAAGGAGGAGGAGAAGGAGGAAGAAAAGGAGGAAGAGGAAGAAGGAGGGATGAAGGGACGAGGGAGAAAGGAGACACAGCAATTTTCCTCCTCCTCCTTTCCCTTCTCCGTCTTCCTCTTCATCTAATCCTCCCACTTTCTCCACCCCCCATCTTCCACCTTCCTCCTTCCACCTCCCTCTATCCTTCCTCCTCCTCCTCCTCCTCTTCCTCCTTCCTCCTTCCTCGCTTCTCCACACCCAACATGCCCGTCAAATCTCTGTTGATCGTCAGGTTAAAGCTGTTGGCCACGACTCGGGGGGGGGGGGCGACTCGCGCGACTAGTGTGTCCTTACTGCCCTCAGCCCGCGCCGCCCACACCACGCTCACGATGGGCGGCGTCCTACACGCCCACATACCGGTCGCGATGGGCGGACTCTTCTCTAAGACGCTCACACGCTGAACACGATGAGCGGAGTCTTCTCAAAAACGCCCACACGACGCCTACGATGGGCGGAACCTTACACGCCTACACGCTGCTTAGGATGGGCGGAGTTTTCTCTGAAACGCCCACACGATGATGAGAATGGGCGGAGACTACTCTTAAACGCCCACGCGCTCCACAGGATGGGTGAAGGATCTTCTTAGCCGCCCGCACGCTGCCTAGGTTGGGCGGAGGAGTCTCTTGGACGCCCACATGTCGTAAAGGGATGGGAGGAGTCTTCTCTAGACGCCCACGCACTACCAAGGATGGGCGGAGTCTCCTCTGAACGCCCACGAGCTGCTGAGGGTGGGCGGAGTCTCCTCTGAACGCCCACGAGCTGCTGAAGGTGGGCGGAGTCTCCTCTGAACGCCCGCGCGCCGCTGCAGAGTCGGCTCGAGGGAGTCCCGTGTCGAGGGCCTCCTTCCGGCTGGCGTGGGCGGAGTGTGCTATGGTTGTGGGCGGGGACTGGGGGCGGGGACGGCGGTCAGTGGGCGGGGCTTGAGGGAAGACCACGGCAGTCCTTCGTTCAGACGGAAGTGTTCATCACAACTTCTTCGCGTGTCCAATAAAGCTATTACGTAACGAGCCCGTGACGTCATGAGGGCTGTGACGTCACGAGGGCTGTGACGTCACGAGGGCTGTAACGTCACCCTCGTCACAGGGGCCGCTGTGACTTTGTCTTGTAACACAACCTTCACTCACTTCGAAGACGGAACACGCACGCACGCACGCACAATTAATTTTATTTTTTTTATACTTCTTCGAATGGCACGAGAACACTAGGTATAGATATAAACAACAATAAGAACACTGCACAATCTCTCTCTCTCTCTCTCTCTCTCTCTCTCTCTCTCTCTCTCTCTCTCTCTCTCTCTCTCTCTCTCTCTCTCTCTCTCTCCTCATCGACGACGGCGACATCAAATATAATTTATATCAAAGACACAAGAAAAAAACAGATTGAAGAAGAACACAGCTCCTCAGTTCGTTTTCGTCGTAAAAAGAACATTTCTACAAGTATAAAATAATTATAATATAATAATATTATATAGGCCTACAATATCAGTAAAAATATGGACCCACTGGGAACATTACAACTAATGAAGTCATCACATTTGGTAAAGATCATGTAGGAGGGGGTAGGGTAGGGGTAGTGGTGGGGGTGGGGGGCAGGGCACAAGGCAAGCACACACACACACACACACATGGGCGCAGACACGCCCCCTCGTACCTGCTCACGCCCACAATCTTGCTTTCGCGTGTCCTCAATTGCGGCCGCACAAAGGCACTCACTCTCTCGCTCCCAAAAATATGACAGAAGTAATGCATACTACTCTATAACATTAGATATACATACATACATACATACATACATACATACATACATACGTGTATATGTATGTATATATATATATATATATATATATATATATATATATATATATATATATATATATATATATATATATATATACACACACACACACACACACACACACACACACACACATATATATATGAAGAGTTTCACTTCTATACCTTTTCATGAGGTAAAGTCATCGCCGCGGGCAAACCAAGCCTATCTGCCTGCCTGTCTGCCTGCCCGGGGTCGACGCCAGACACTGCCAGACACTCCCTAAGGCACTCTTGTGAAGACACGGAAGCTAAGACACTCATGAAAGACACTCTGAGGGGACGTGGGAGGGGTCAGGGAGGGGGGGGGGGGCGGTGAGGTCGAAGGCTGGGTATGGGCATGGGGAGGGGGGCGGTGGGGGGGGCAGGGGGGTGGAGGAGGTGGCGTCTGTGAGTTCTCTTGAGGTAGCCACGTGTTGGGAATGTGTCGGGAGAGGAAAGGACAAGACAACACAAAAAAAAAACAAATCCATAAAACACAATAACACAAATCGTGGTTTAAAAAAAAAAACACAATAATGAGGACAATTGATAACTGATGATACACAATAAACAAACACACAAACAAAAGTAACATGAAAAGCAAGCTGAAACCAGAGGCATGCTTTGGGATTGGACATGTAAAGGAATTCAGAAACATGTCACACAAAAACATAAAAAAAAAACATAATAAACCACATCAAAAGAGAAATTTTGCAATGACACACACTGTTACAATAACGTGCACTGTTACAATGACACTAATCAGCATAAAAATAATAACCATTGCAATAATAAAATAAAACAAAATAAAATAATTACAATAACGATAACAATAATATCAAATCATTATCATTACCATCATCATAACAATCACTAATCACTATCATCATCACAATAATAATAATAATAAAAAAGTGTAAAAATCACAATGGCACAACACAAAATGGACACATATGGGAAGGACCCGACTCTCGGACACTTGCAAAGCCATCGTCAGCATCTCCGTGACCGTCTTTATCACCGTCTTTATCACAAGCATCATTTCCTCTGCTTGGCCCCGTACATGAGGGGGGTACGGGCGGGGGGGGGGGAGTGAAGGGGGGGTCAAACGGGGTTAAAAGTCAGGGTGCTAGGGAGATGCCCCCCCTCTCCCTATCCCCCCCTTAACCTCGGACCCCCCAAGGAATGTGTCGAGAGAATACAATGCAAAAAAAAATATACATATATATATAACAAATCGAATCGAGTAACAATTAACACATCTTTTTGGGGAACATATAAATATATATATATATATCCTTATCGTAATTAAAAAAAGAAAAAGAAAAATGAGATTCCAGATAAATGTATTCTGACCTTCAAGCCAACAAACCTCTACATGAAATTAAAAATCACAGAAGCAAAATAAAATTCTCTCTCAAATGCCAACAAACAAACAAACAAACGTGAATCGCCACAGTCCTTTACTCATCATCACTCATGTTTTACTCATCACCGCCCGGAGAAACTCGCCGCCGACCCACCGCCTCGCAGGGAACGGTGGGGGAGGGGGGAGGGGGGAGGGGAAGGGGGGGTAAGTACTCGGAAATCTAGGCCTACCTGAGCGCGTCGCGAGGGCGAGGGGCACGCAACGCAGGCCGTCGTGTGGCCCTTGGCACTGCAGAGGCCTTGGCACTGTGTATGGAAATTGGAATTCAATGAGCTTTGGAAGTCCACAACCCTTGGCACTGCATGGCACGTGGCACTGTATGGCTTTGGCACAGTATGGCCCTTTGGCACTGCCCGGCCCCTGGCGCTGCGTGGCCCCTGCTCGTCTCTGACACTGCTTGTACATGTATGGCACACGAGTCATCACACTGAGATCATCGTCATCAACATCGTCGTCATCGTCATCATTGAACAGCATTCCCTCGTTCCGGTCGCCCTCGCCAGGGTCTCCCGAGACGCTCCTGGAGGGATTCTGTAGCGCGCGGGCGGGGGGAGGGGGAGGGGCGCACTCCCTCTCCCCCCTTTCAAACTGCGCAGTTATAGTTGTACACGTGTGTGCATGCGGGTGTGTACGCACACGATACACATACATGCATACACACGAGCGTAAACAGGTGGGGGAGGGGAGGTGGGGGGAGGGGATTTGTGTGGTGCGGGGGGGGGGGGGATACAACACGATGCACACGCGTGTAGATGAACACACACGCACACACACCCTCACCGCGTGCACTTGTTGGTGAGGCGGTCAACAACAACAACAGCAAAGAAAAAAACAAACACAATCATGCAACTACTTGACTCAGCACTTGCATGGATGTGGGGGAGGGGGAGGGGGGGAGGGGGGAGGGGGCCTGAGTGAAGGTAAAGCGGAGACAGAGACGGCGAAGGGGGGGGGAGGAGGGCTCACCGCCCCTTCCCTCCCTCCCTCCTTCCTTCCTTCCTTCCTTCTTTCCATACGAATGCAACGGCGCTTTGTGAGCCCGACTCAGGGGCCCCTCTCGAAATGCATGGGGGGGAGGGGGAGGGGGAGCACGCCGCCGCCGCGAACGCCGCCGGGACACCGCTCCGGGAACGCGAGGGGGGGGGGGGGGAGGGGGAGGGCAGGGGGGGGCTCCTCCCTCAGGGGAGAAAGGGCGAGGGGGCGAAGGAGAAGGAAAGGCGCCGCCCTTGAGGAGGGGGCGGGCGGAGGGCGCGGGCGGCCCTACCGCGAGTGGGTGGGGATGTGGTGGTGCGGGTGGTGGTGGACGCTGGGGTAGGGCGACGTGGGCGAGGGGGCGCCCATGGGGGAGTGCGGGGGCAAGGGGGAGTGGGAGGGCAGGGGCGTCTGCGGGGCCACCAGGTGGGTGTGCTGGTGCAGGCCGACGCCCGCGTGGTCGCCGTGGGCGGCGTGGGCCGTGTGGCCGGGCGAGGCCTGGCTGAGGTGGTGGTGGTGGTGGCTCATGTGGTGGGTGGAGGTGGGCGTGGAGAGGTGCGGGGTGGGCGGCGGGTGTGGGTGGTGGTACTGGGGCTGGTGGTGGTGGGTCTGGAGCGCGGCGGCGGCGGCGGCGGCGGCGGCGGCGGCGTGGTGCGAGGGCGACGCCATGGTGCCGCCCTGGTGCATCGAATTGAGCGTGGGCGCGGAATACATCATTTGGCGTAC